GGATGGGGTGCTCTGAGCTCCGTTCACAGCCTTATGCTGGTGAGAGCTCACAGAGGGGCTGCGTCATCACAAGGTGCTCCACCAATGTTGGCAGTGACCGAGGATATTTGCAAAAGCCCACGCTGCCCTTGGCCTTTCCAAGGACTGGAAGAACCCAGCCTTCTTGAGGAATGTTAGGGGCTTTTTTAGCAGCCAACACTTTAAGAGAAGATACTGAAAAATCTGGGTTATGCGATTCATCAGGGGGATGGTGCTCCTGGCATGTAGTTTTTCAATGCAGTATGGGAACATGCTGCAACAGGAAGATACAGCACCATAGTATCTGGATGATCCCTTTGCTGGATTAAACCCCCTGGACGATAACCAGGCTCTCCCTCTGAAACGTGCCCAGCTCGTTTCCCCTCTCCCCGCAGTTTCACTTCCCTTATCAGCAGTGTCTACAGCCCATTGTAAAACCTCGCGTGTGCAGCCTGCGTAAGGAGCACGCAGAAAACAACTATAAAAAGGGTTGATCATTTACTGGGAACATAAACGGGCCCAGACACCCAAAGCACCCTTGGGTGCCAAAATGGGGGTGATTTCCGTCATGCCCAAGCTGACCGCGCAGTGTCCTGGGGCAAGCAAAAATCAGGCTGAAAATGTTTTTTTTTTTCTCTGCAGCAACATGCAGGCTCTGGCTGTGGAGAAGCCTCGGTGGGATGTGGAGAGGCAGCCATCAGGCAAGATTCTCTCGCTGGACAGGCAAGGGGCCAAGAAAGTGCTGGAGATCTATGTCAGTCGCTCGTTGAGCTGCTGTGAAAACTCGGTGGCCAAGAAGATGCTTCAGGAGGGAGCCAGAAGGCGAGGGAGGAAGGCAGATGGGCTGCAACGGTCGAAAAGCGACTTCTGCAAGTATTCGTCTGCCAAATTCAGCCCCAAGAAGGACCAGGAGGAGGGACCCAAAACACCAGACCTGGACAAGGCTCTGGATGATGAGAGCAAAGCTCCCCGGGAGGTCCCTAAAGAGGAGCCAGAGACCAAGAGGAAAAGCACAAAAAACTCTTCCCAGGGCAAAACTCAACGTACCTGGTTCAAAAGTTTCTTAAATTTCCTCTTCAAGAAGAATGCTGAGGAGCAGAAGGAAAATGCAGGGCAAAAAGCAAAGGAGAAAGATGCCAAAGCTCCTCACAGCTCCAAAGCAGAAGGGTCTAAAAGACCCGGAGGGGACTCAAGCATGTCCCCGCCACTGGGCAGAGCCCCGAAGAGGAAACCCAGCCTCAAGAGGGTTTTCTCCTTCAAGAAGCACGTGGAGGAGGAGCGGGGAGAGGCGGCAGCCGGGGTGAGGGCCAAGCGACCCAGCTGCCTTCCCCTGCGGCACGTTCAGTCTCCAGCCACCCCAGGTGGGACCCCCACCACCCCTAACCCGACCTTAACCCAACCCTGGGGACCTCCATTGGGCTTCTTTTAGGAAAGCTATAGTGTTTAGGGCTGGTTTCTAGCCTAAGCATCACCCTCTTGGTGCTTTCTGGGGTTTGGGATAGGTTTTGGGGACTCCAGTTTCAACCTGCTGCCCCAGGAAAGGGTCAATCTGCCCGTGCTTTGAGCACACATCATTGCTCCAACTTGTGAGTGCAGCAAGTTACCCCAAACCAGCTGCTCGGCACTAACCATCCAAGCACAGGTTTTCCCCCTGTGGCAAACAAGAGACACGGTGGTTTAGTTTAAACCTGCATTCAAGACCTGAGATTAAATCTTAAACCACCCTAGGGCCAATGTTCAGCTGCTTTTGATCAGCTGCGGGGAAGGGTGCGGGCAGCTATGGCCTGATGGGCAGAGCCCGCAGCACACCCTCATCCCTGCCCCAGCCCTTCCCCTGCCAAAAAGCCGGTGAGGGGATTTCTGTGCAGCTTCGGTGGATCCAGGGCAAGCCGCAGCCGCTCGGTGACGGCTCAGAGAGCACAGCCCCATCCTTCGCCGGCGGTATGCACTAATCCGGGGTGGGCACGAGCACCACGTGGATGCAGCAGCTGCTTTTCCCTTTCAATCAATGGCCAACAAAAAAAATCAACCCTCGCTTCTGAATATGTGTTTTTCTTTCAGAGGAGCAGCCTGACGGTTACTACACACAAGTCTCAGAAGAGATCGGGCTGATCGTGCAGGGCAGTGAGGGCCAGGGCAGCAGAGCACACGGACGCCCAGAGCCACCGCTGCCAGCCAGCGCCGATGGGGTCGGTGAGTGTCGCCCTTGCAAGCGCTTCATCACTGGCATGTGTAGAAAACACACGTGCACAAGACTTGTCCCCACGCAGAGCCTCCACGGGACCCAAACGTTGCTTCAATCCTGGCCCAGGGGCTTATGCGACCCAAACAGTCATATGAAGACTTTGGGGGAGATTTTCAGCATTGGGGCTTGCTCTGGGGAAAGAGAAATTCCAAGGCAGAGGGCTGGTTTATCTGGCTGAGGATAACAAGGCACTCGGCAATAGGCTGAAACGGGTTTTGGAGGGATGGAGGTGGATAAACATTGCTCAGGGAATTTTTCCTGGGGACTAAACAGAGCATCTGGGTATGAAGCTTGGAGAAAGTGCTGGAGATAACGTGGGATCTCTCTTTCTGCAGATGAAGCCATCAGGAGAATTGTCACCCTGCTCCAGACTGCAGGAGATGAGCTGGACAGGCAGGTGAGAGGGGAGCTGTGGTCAGCTGAATGGGGCCAAGGGAATTTGGATCAAGCTGTGTACTGCTGTAAAATACAGCAACACTACTGATTTCCCCGGTGCAAGGAAACACTCAGTAAAATCAAGGAAATGGCATCTTTTAATTCCCCGACTGGGTGTGATCGTGGCTGTCTGTGCTCCCTCAGCTGCAATCCTACCGTGGAGCGAAGGCATCCATGCAAGGATGACACACTGAGTTCATAACGTGTATTCACTTGCTTCTTAACCAGGTGAGGGAAGACGCACGGCTACGGATGTTCTTCAGAGACATGTCCTACAGCTCCTTCAAGAACTTGGCCGATGCCTACGTCCGCAAGGAAATGACGGCCAGCAGACCCGATGTCAACCCCCGAGAGATCCAGTTTGCCTTTGCTGTGCACCTCACCGCCAAGGTGGCGGGCATCTGCAACCAGGCAGTGAACAGGATCATGGGCTTCGGCACCCGCTACCTGGAAGATTCGTTTCCACCCTACAGCAAAATTCTCCAGGTAGGGAGGAGGATCAAGGCTGGGGCTGAGCTTCCAGCAGCAAGTTAGGGCAAGTGGTGTAATTTTAGGGTGATCGACAGACCTGGGTGGGTAGCAGCCATGCTGGCTTTTACTCGGGGGGGTGACTGGGTGCTGGATCTTGCCTTGTTGTGCTATTTGGGCTGCCTTTGCCTTCCTCCAACATGAGTGTGGCCCATGCACACACATGCAGGACTTGCTTTGCTCCCTGCCCACTGCATCTCCACAGCCAGGAGATGCCACGTAGTGCATGGGTTTGCTGCAACCTGCTGTACCCGCAGCTTTCCTCGGGGAGAATTTCCTCCTAAACCCATCTAGAAGACCAATAGCACCAGCCCAGTTTGGGAAAGGACCTCACGGATGTTTTCTTCTGTCTCAGCAGAACAGAGAAAAGTTCAGCACAGACAACTGCGAGAGCCCAGACTGACACTGGCTTCTCCGAAGGACCTGCAGTGCCTGGGAACCCAAGGATACAGATTTACTGACAGAGGGGACAGTCCCCGTTGGTGATCTGAATGTGGGGTGATTTTCTGAGCTGTGGAATTAAAAATCTTCTACGGCAGCGATGCCACAGTAGCATGAAATGCTTCAAACTCACCTGGCTGGGGGCAAAGATCTGTAAATCACCTGTAAATTTAACCGTGTTTTTGCGTTTTAGCTCTCACCAAGTGCCTGTGTTGAACCTCATGGCTTGTTTGTATTCATGTATGTGTATTTATTTACCTACTTTTCTATAGGTATCTGTGAATGTACAACATAATTTTTGTAGCTTCTGCTGTCGGCCAAGAGTCCTGTTCAGGAAAAAAAACCCTAAAACTCAAATAAATTGGTGCCTAAATAAGAGCCAGGCTTGTCTCATGGGTGATGTGTACGGCCGTTATACATGGGATAACGTTTTCTGTGCTACGGCTGTGGTGGGCTGCTCCTTTCAAATCAGATTCTAAGTGGCCCAAAGGGAGTCCTACAGTCTTATACAGCGTGGTCCTGCTATTTTTTACCATTTATAGCCATTCTCTTTACAGCAGAAGGAGATTTATTAGCCAAAGCAGTTTGTTCTGACACCAAGAACTGGGTAAAGCTTGTTCCTGAGTGGCGCAGGAGCTGCCCGCACTGTCTCTCGCTCAAGGACCAAGGGGATTTACAGCTGCCAAGGTCTCACCTACGAGGTCTAAGAAGATGTGAAATGTCAAAGCGATTAAACCCTAATCGCTGGGAATGTTCCCAGCTAATCTTTGCCCAGAGCCCTAAGCAGGGCCATGGATTAAGGCAGCTCGGGGCTGGGGGGATTGCCAGCGCTCAGCGTGGTGGCACCAGCAGGACCATCTCCCTTGCCAGGGTTGGACCTAGCCTGGGGTGAAGGGGACAAAATTTCGGCCTTCGCAGTGTACAAGAGGTGGGATGATCTAGCGGGTTGAAGGCGATGGTGGTGGCAAACCAACCTGTGGGTCTTGGGTCAGTGTCATGCATGGGGTGACAGCCTCCCACGGGCCACTGGTGACAGCCTTTGTCTGCCCAGCACCTGCTCTCCCGGAGGAGCTGATCTTTTCAGTCCTTTAAAAACCCTAAGTAAAACAAAATGGGGAAGCAGAGCCCTCGTAGGAAGGAAGCAGCCCTTCCCCACCCAGATCAGCATCCCCCTGTTGGCGAAGCCTTGAAGGAAACCTTTGATAGAGCTGCAAAGGGTTGAATCGCCGACTGCCGAAAAGCCCCAGGGAAGGGGATAGCTTGCAGGGGCTCCATCTAATTTAGCCCAGGGTAACTTGGACTGCGAAAAACATCCAGTCCTACTCCTGGGTCCTGCCTGGTGATGCCAGCAACAAGCACAGTGCCAGCACCATGTTTATTTTTGGCCAGGAACCAAGCTGGGAGACGTTTACTGCAGGAGAAACCGAAACTGCTCTTGCCTGTTTGCAACCGTTGTGATGTTCCTGTCCCTGCCCAGAGCCTGGGAAACTCTGCTGGGGCTGTGTCCAGGGCAGGGTGTGCTGGTGTTGGGGACAAGGTGGGGACTCAACAGGAGGATCACGCAACACCCCTGTTTGTTTTGCATCTGAGCTCATGCGGTGCCTGGTGTGGGTTGGGATTTGCATGGAGCAGAAAAGGGTTTTGTCTCCTCTCTGACTTCCCAGGGGATGTTATCTTCCCTCGGCACGGGGGACACGCCTGCCAGGCAAAATGCTGGTGAGCAAAACAACTCATCTCTCCCGTTTCTTTCTCCTGTGCTTTTCCCGATATCATGGCTGAACCAAATATCCTCCTTCTGTGGTCACCAGACCTTTCCCCGCCCATGGGGGCGGCGGTGCTGGGGAAACAAGGAGCAAAACCCTGCAACGCCCCTTGCACCAGGGGCACCTGG